AAATTAATCCAAGATGTGCTCTCATCCAAATGTCAAATGTTTTTTTCAAACCAGGAACATGACATTTCACCAGGTCTTTTCAGCCCTATCTATAAGCACAGTAACTTGTTTGTAGCTTGTGTTTTCATTCCTAGTGGTTGTAGTCATGGTCCCAGGAGTCTATTTTCTGTAAAGAAATAGTTGGAATGAATTGAAACTTTTTAACTCTGAAATTGAACTCTTGATGCAACTCATAAGCAATTACTTTGTACGAACATTTCTTTTTAAAATACACAAACCTTATAAAAACCCTCCTGGAACAAAGGATCCTCCTTGCTGTTTGGAAGGAGGAGGTAGCTCATGTAAACAGAGCTATGTCCTCCTCATAGAGCTGCTTCCTTTTGAATGGCTGCGCCACTTAATTGATGGTTTGTGGCCTAATAGCATAAATATTCTTGCATTATTCCCTGAGGGTAAGCATCTCTTTTTTTTTTTTTTTTCCTTTTAAACAGGAGCAACTTCATATATGGCTCATACTTAAGTAAAGAAGAAATTGCTTTCTCTGACCCCACTCCTGATGGAAAACTTTTCGCAACACAGTACTGTGGCACGGGCCAGTTCTTAGTATACAACTTCCTCAATGGACAGCACCAGACTTAACTGCTCTTTTTTTCGTTTTTATTGGAAGACTTCTGCCAAAACGCACTGAGTGGGTGCAGACCTTCAGCAGAAGCCAGGGCCATTTTTATTACAGTGAACTCAGGACTGGTAACAACCGAAAGGTTGTACTATTTTATTAAAATTGTAAACAATGCAGTAATAGGCTAACTTTGTTTTTTTAAAAGAAAGATATTTTATTAACTTTTACAAGAGTTTGATTGTATTTTATCTAGTTAGTCATGCAGCAGAAAATTGTTCATAGTGGACTGTAAACTAATGCAAAAACTCTAGTCTCGCTGATGAGTACATGCTGAAGTTCTTAATGGGGCGATATACCAGTGCTTCTTGGTACTGTAACGCTGCTCTCCTCCCACCTGGCCCGGCAGCGGAGTGAGGCCGTTAAGGGTTGTTTGCTTGCCAGAGTTCAAGGCTATGCTCGATTGCATCGAGGCAAGAAGCGTTGCAGTGCAGGCATCGTGGGCAGTAACCCGCACAGACTGCACCGTGGCTGCTGGGGGCGCGTTCTGTGCACTGCTCTAGGTGTAAGGGAGCTCCCGGGTGTCAGCGGCAGTGGAAACTTGTTCTGCCCCCTCTCCCCTCTTCCCCGGATTAGTTGTAGAGTAAAAGGTGGAATGAAAACCGTGAGGACTGGTGTGCTTGTCATGTTTCTTCAAGTACTGTACTGAGTATATACCTTTGTTAGTGGACTTCACTTTGATACTTGTCACTCCTTCATAAATCTCTCCTCTTTTAAAGGGTTTGTATGTTGAAAAACTGCTGTGGCCTTTCTTGATCTGTACATAATGTAGATAGATTAAAAATAAAATACTTGATAGCTTTTTTAAAAGTTAATCTGTGTTGATACTAAGTGTGAATGAATCTTTAGTGTCTTTCATACTTTTGTGTGTGAAATATTACCTCAGTGGCCAACGGCAGCCTGTGTTTTGAAGGAGTCTCTGGAGAACATAGTTGCTGCACTGGTACCTGCTTGGCGTCAGAATTCTCTTTGTGCCAAGGCATTTGCATCACACCCTGAGGATCAGTTCCCCAGGAGCTTCCAGATCAATGCCAGCCTCATACAGAGTCTACAGTAAGGTGAGAAGTAATGCCTTCAGCCTTGAAGAATAGCTTAAAACCCTAGTATAAGATGGGAAAGATTTAATTAAACTTATAGTTTGTGCAGTTAGGATACACTTGTTTTTATTGTGCTGGCTTTAACCTTGGTCGAGAGCTAGAGCAAAGAACTCCCAAGGCTGCTGTTTCCAAGCTGTGTCGTGTCATATGCAAGGGGATTGTGAGCAGACTGTAAAGGGCTTTGTCAAAAAAAAAAAATGGTGTGGGGTAACAGAGAATCTAAAGGTGATCCTCTCTGAGGGGCTTGGAAAGCAAGAAGTGCCAGGGTACTCCTGCTCTTAACTTCTTCTCTGAGTAATACTGAAGTATGGCCAGACCACGCCTGTTTGGTTTTGTTTTGTTTTGTTTTGTTTTCAACTGCTTGTACTTTAAGGGGGCTAAAAATTGGTACTTGGAGCTTGTGTACCTCCTCCCTCGGGTCTGTTTGACACAAAGCTATTCTCCCAGCTCACAGCTACCCAGTTTGAAAGATCTCTTAACAGTGGCAGCACACCACAGTAACTTCATAAAATCAATAAGCAGGCTTCACGTTAGCAGCATGAGGTGGGTTTCTTGTTTTCTCACGCACACTATTGTGTGCAAAGAGAGGAAGAACCAGCATCCTGTGCAAAGCACCAGTTCAGAGAGAGGCAGTCTTAAATGGTAACTTCATATATTCAAATTTAATGAAAGCACATTATAAACATACCATAGCCACAACTTGAGACAGTTTCAGTTCATAAACAGTAACATGAGGTAGACTGACTAGTGAAGCTAAATTCACCAAGTTTTTGGTTAAGAAAACTTTACACTAGGAAAGCAACATTTTTAACCCTCTTCCAAAAGTCACAAAAAGCAATTACATAAGTTAAGCAAAAAGCATCTGCATATGATTCTTTAAATCTTAGTTTACATTCAAATTTAACCTGTGAATAGCCAAGAACATCTACAGGTAAAATATAACGCTGGCCAATTGAATACATTCATAAGAAGGGCCTGGAGTATGAGCCTTACAACCAAAATGGAACAGCAATAATCTAGATGTCAAAGAACGGTCTCCTTCTCAGAAATTCCCAGGCAGCCAGGTAAAGTGTTCCATGGGCCAGGCCTGCACCCTTGGAGCTGCCTTAGTACACGCTGGCCAGAGTCACCTGAACTCCTTGCTACCACATGGGAGAGAGTTAAGGAAAAGAGTTTACTATTGCTTGGTAAAGGCAGGCAAATACGCTTTCTGACTGTGTTCTCAACCTTCAGGACAATTTTGCACTGCTTCACCAGAGGGCTAACTCCTCGTAGTAGTCCCAGCACCTGGAATTTTAAGAACTTAGTGCAAACATCAAATACACAAACAAAAAGGAAACCATTTTTGAACACATAGTACCTGAAACTTCAACATCACGCTAAGACTCAGGGGTGGCCTTAAGCCCTCCTGGCAAAACCAGAACTACTGGAATACATTCAGGTGTGTATCAAAAGCTTCAAGAAGCATATTTTATATCCCTACCTCTTCCAAGGGCTAAAATAGACAAGGCAGGTTGTGTCTGAAGGAAAATAAAAAATAAATTTACAGAAATGGGTTGTTCATCTGAAATTTGCTAAATTTACAGCATCAGAGTTAAGCTACATTAACACAGACATATGCAAGCCATTTTCCTTTTGCCTCCGCTGAATATATTATCATTTTTCATCTGTAAACATCTCTTTTCACAAGAGAAAAAAGTTGCTCAATTAACACTAGGCGTAAAAAAAAATAGGCTGTTTTGGCAGGTCCTTCTCCAATGAGTTGCAGGTCAACTGTAAAGACATGGTAATTTCATTGCTTTGGGGAGAGTAAATTGATATTCCTGAATTGCTTTTAAGAACACGCTGCATTTTTCTTTTTAATAAAGGTGTCACGATGTGCAGGAAGATTTTTTTTTTTTTTTCATGGAAACAGTGGGGTAACCCATGCTAACTGCAGGAGCGGAACAGAGTACTGCTACAATTTAACCCTGACAACCCAATGCTACTGCACTGAGTTCAATAACAAATTACAAGGAGCAGTAATATGCTTGTAAGTAGAACAATGTGCAACTACTCCTACAGCCAGTATTTACAGAGGTTAATCAAAATAAAGGGCTGATAGCGTTCGGTGACGCGTTTAAAGGTCTGCTGCTGGACGGAGTCTCTCCTGAGTGGTCCCAGCTCCCTGGGACTTCTCCACTGCTCCCCCTGGAGCTGTTGTAAAATACTTTGTGTTTCTCTCAGATCCAGCTCGGGCAGCGTTGCCCTCCCGCACATTTTTTTGGGATGTTGATTCACATGCAGGTATGACTTGGCAGGCCTAATCTCAGCTCTGCAGCCAGCTGGAGTTGAGTGAAACAGACACCAAGAGTAAGTTGCATAAGGCCCACCACAAAGGCATCCGACGTGCAGGAGAATTCATTTCCATATGCAAAGGAGGATGGACCACAGGTTTTCAAACTTTGACAAGTGAGACATGGCAGGTGTCTTGCTGGCAAGTTATTCTGGCCTCTAACTGAGGAGAAAGTGTCTACGAGAAGCCTTTTGCTTTGTCCCTGGAGTCGAGGAGGAGGTGCCTGATGGGGTAAAGGAACTGTGCTGGGAGAACCTGGGCGCACAGTGCCTGCCATGCATTTGCTGATTTGTTCAGGTTTAAGTAGTAAACTTTGAACACCTGTGGAAATTTTGCCAAAGACAGTTTCAATACATACACAATTACAAATTTTAAACTAACACTGCACAGAGAACAAGACTATTCCTTTTAATACAAATATCTATGTTATATTGTAGTTTCAAACCCCTGAGTATTCCTGTACCACAGTACGGAGCTGAAGAGACACAGTGGGCTCTCCTCCATGTAGCTTCAATAAATTCCACATGCTGGGTTGTGTTTCACGTAACACATTCAAGCTAGCAGCTGCTGAGAGCAGCTTCTTCCCCTAGCTCAGCTGAATATAAAAAAGATTCTTCTTCAACCAAATTACATCCTCTTCCTAGATCCTACAGCTTGGCTGGCTGTGTGATTAGTGTTGGCGGTTGTGACTGATGTGAAAATAACTGGAATCCAGAATCCTTTAAATCATAACTGATGTGGTAATTTTATCCCTAGGAATAAAGCCTACTTCAGAATCGTGGGGAATCCTTTAGAGCAGTCTAGATAAATATTGGTTGCACTTTGCTCCACAGTGATTGTACTTTTAAAAAAAAAGTTATTTTTTTCTTTGTTAGCGGTGTCTTAGCGAAGCTTATATATGGCGTCCAGTAAGAAAATAGAGTGGTTTGTCATCACTGCTGTTAGCAGTTTGAAACTCATCCCGAAGTCGGAACTGCCACTCATCTTCCAACTCCAACCGGACTATTGTCTGCCGTAACGAGCTTCTGTCTTGGCATATGACACACAGGGTGGCACCTTCAATTGAAAAGCACATTGGACATTCAGGGTACAGTAACAACTCTATTTCCTTCATTCATTTTCCTAAGATTTTTTAAAGAAATCTCTGCTGCTTGTTAGGGACATTTCTCATTTTAAAAAAAACCCCTGAAGTATTAGCAAGGGGCTATGCACAAGCGGCCAGCCTAGGCTCAGATCAGTCCCATGTGCCCTGGGACAGAGGTGAACATGTCCGTTTGCAGGAAGGCATGGACAGGGAGAAGCAAGGCTGGTGTGGGTCTGTTCTGTCTCACAGAACATAGCTGCCTGACTGGTGTTACTACCATCAACCATAGTAGAGAGCGTGTTATCTTGAATTCAAGATCCTTAAATTGCTACTAATAGTTATGCCAAACGAATAAAGCCTACGTTTTTTTTTTCATGGGACATTTGGGTTTGTACAAGGTCAGCGATGAAACCTGACTGAGCCAAACCACAGTCAGTCCCACAACTGACTCCTGAGAAAGTCTGCTATAACTTCCCTTAAGTATGAAGAGCTCCCCTTGGTAGAGCTCAGTAAGAGGAGTAACAAAACAAATCCTTCATTTCTTTGGTTTAACAAACTTGCAAACCCCCTTCCACCTGGTGCTACCAGACTGCATAGTCATTTAATGAGCAGGAGAGCTGGACACCTTCAGAGCTTTCTCTGTTCTGTGCTCCAGCCCACACACTGGGCACGTGGGAAGTTCAGGTTCAGATCCCTCCTCTGCCTGTTTTTGTGAAGAAACTGCCCCTTGCCCAGGAAACAACAAACAATGCAGCCCCTCCGGCTGCATTCAGCCCCCATCAGCTCTGGGGGTCTGCCGATGGCAGCACCATCCCCACCGCGGCCGCCACACGGCTGTGCCTCCCTGCACTGCCCCTGCACTGGGGTGCCTGACCAGGCGCAGGAGCAAATTCCAAAACATGGTTCTTGGGACTGCCACAGGGTCAGCCCCGCACAAGCACCGTCCTCACTCAGTGCAAGGGGGAAATGGCTCGGTTGTGCCACCACAAAAGCACTGGAGCTCTGCAACGCACTTCAGCATTACTGAATATCTAAGGCAATTTGCTATTTGTTAGTACTAAGATAAAATGATGAAGAAAGACTTTAATGAGGTCGATAAAGTTCTGGTGGGGGAAGACCCCATCATCCTGCAGCTAAGAGCTGCCCTGATCTACAGTACTGAATATTTATTGCCATTATAGACAGATCACTGGAGAATACAATTTCTCATCTTCAGCAGTAATGTCTATGCTCTGAACTCTCACGTTGCTGACTGCATGATTCACTGTCTGCTTTTCAGGTATCCGTGTTTTTCTGCACCTATTCCCATTTGATGACACTTTAATTTCATTAATGTAATTTATCAAAGCTTACCTAAGGCTCAATTACCTGCCCTTATTACCAACAGGAACAGAAGTTTTGTACACTCCCAAAAGAAACACTCCATGTATTTCTTCGGAAAAGAATGGCAGCACTAACTGAGGTTCTCCTACCTTTCCCTTTTCCTCCCCGCCGTTACTGGGCAGGAAAGCAGCCGGGATGCCCAGCAGAGCAGGGAGATTATGAACCGCTTGAGTAGGTCTGCGCCAACGAAGGAGTCACAGAGATAGAGCAGAAGTCCACTGAAGAACACCCCTTCACAGTTGACATTGACCGAGTGTGGGCGGGAACTAATGTAGCATATGGCCACCTGAACGAGAAGGGGAAAAAAGGGAGAATTGGATGTTAGAAAATCCATAAGTAAGACTTTAAGTGGAATGGAATACAACTTTGCGATAACAGGTGAGTCAGCTGGGGCTGGTAAAAATACAATCCAATGAGAAGGCAGTATTGAGTAAACTTCCCCTGGGAAATAACACACGGGACAAACTTCTAAATTCGGATTTGGTCACCAAGTCTGCAATACTGTCTGTTATTTCGGGGTGCTTCATAATTCAGTTTGATTTTCTGCTTCTCTGGGAATTACCTCCTTATAAGGACTGTTAAGATTATTTAGGGTGTTCTAATAAGGATACACCTGTCCAACACAGTAAGCAACTCCCCGAGTACTGAAACTGCTGAAGCTTGAGCTCCTCTGTGCTGGCACATGTCTTCTCTTGCTGACTGCAAGCATCAGCTAAGTGGTTCCCAGCACTGGGGCTCTCCTGTGTTTCAGTGCCGTGATGGCTGTTCTATATCAAAGGGTTTCTTCTCTATCTTGCCACTGACCTCCATAACATTTGTCAGAACAAAACCCTTGTTAGACTTTCACCCTATTTAAGACCCAGTTCAAACTGATGAATAGGTTCAAAAATTCTGATCTCCCTACCTACACACATCTAAGACATTCTTGCAAAAACCTAGTTCCCCTAGAAACCCAAGTTCATAAAAAGAAAAGCATCTAAAAGGAGAGCTGCATTAAAAAGGATGAGCTTTGTTCATCAGTGAAGCAAACCACCAGAAAAGGGTCATATCAGAAACTCTGTCAGCCAAAACAATTTGGTGCAAGGACAAATCAAACACAGATGATAAAAGGCTGTCTGGGTATGACAGTGATCTATAAAAATTTGTGGACGGTTTCTGTACAGACAGGTAAGCAGTACACCAGGTTCTGTCAGGAGCAGCATCACTTTTGGGTTTTGGCTTCATATGAAATATTATTTCAGACAGACATGGACAATTCCTTTGCAAATCACATCAATCCACCACAGACCTCTGGTCTCTACCCACAGCAGCTAGCTGGGAGGCCCTACTGCCACTCTTTCAGTGGACTTGGTCCTTTAGCTCCAACAGTAGAGTCTCACTGTTTGAGACCTAAGTCTTCAAACTCTACCCTTGATGCTGAGGATTCATCAAAGATGGGGTTTTCAACAGAAGAAAGATGTTGAAGTAAAGGTTTGCATTTAATGGTCCCCATTGTCCCTGCAAAGATTTTGTACCTCAAGCCCGATGTTCAGGTAGCAGTCAATGGCCAGTACAGGGTTCTTGAAGTTATGGATGGCCTTCGGGAAGAGTTTGTACGTCGCATGTTGGAGGAATTTCTCCAGGAGGAACTGAGATGGGGCCGCCAACAAGGTATGCTCACTGTCAGGGGCACAGACATACTGAAGAGGCATTATTGGTGCCAGGCTGTCCGAAACCTACAATGAAACCAAGGGGAGCCCCTTTTAGCCCATCTATTCAGTGTATCTTCTCTGCAGGAGTTCTTTACCTGGGGAAGGGGTCATCATGACGGGGCTGGAGGGGAGTAAAGAGTCAAAAATCCCCACTCGATTTTGACATAGTACCACAGCACAGAAATAAATTAATTACTTGTTCTGTGATTGCTAAGTACTTCTGTGGGTATCTGCTCGCTTAAAGAAGGGACATAAAATAGGGAGTTCAAATTGTCACAATGGCCTTCATCCTGCCTTACTCCTGGACAGTATAGGAAATGACACCCTCCTTGTGTGGAGTCAGCCACAGCAAATGTTTCCTATGGAGTTTTCTCATAGGCCACTCCATCACTACAGATTCCACTGCAACCACAAGAAAAGGAAAATTCAGAAAATGACCTCACAAAATACTCTCATCTGGGGTTTAGTCATCTAAGTCTGAAATACAGGGGGTGAGTTTTGGAAAGAGGGATGGTGTAGGACGTGTTTAAAACCACCAGGAACACAAACTATAAGATTCTCAGATTAAAACCAACCCTTTGAAATATACCTCCATTTAAAGCTGGCACAAGTGCAATATACTCTGTATAAAATATTTGGTATCCCCACACCATTTCTGTAAATATTTGGATTTCCCTGGTGGATTTCAGAAGGTTCCAATTTTCAGTGCCTTTCCTCAGGTCTCTTTTTGTCAGCAAGTGCAAGGACTGAAAGTCATCACAAACCAGCAAACAGTGGAAACTAGTGGCTGTGTTAAAATTATTAAAACTGGATCCAGTACAACTTGCCTGCTTTTGATCAGAGTGTATGTCTGCAAATTCTTCCTCCGTCAGAGATACCAGTGAACAGCTAGACCAAACTCTTTCTATTCCCAGTCCATCTTCTAATAGATTAGGAGGATTATTGTTAATAATTTATAATTAGCAAAATAATTATTTTCTATTTCTGATGTGGTAGCCCTTTCATGGAGTAGGCCATGAACATCAAATAAACACTAAATAAATCTAAAGGGCTAGAGAATTCATTATTTCTAGGGGAAACAGGTCCTGATTTTACCCTTTACGGAGCATACATCCCCACTCACCATGATTTTTGGCTTAACGACAAAGTCCTTTTGTCCTCCAACCTGAATATGTTTCTTCATGACACTGAAGTTGTTGAAGCGGCAGATGAGCAGGCCGCTGCTGTTTGTTCGCAGATTAAAATCTACATCTTCACAGAAATACCTGGACATGAAACACAAGATGACTAAACCAGCTGTGTGGCTGCTGTCAGTAAGCCAGCATTTTCCCACCCACTGCTGAAATGCACCGCAACGAGCTCAGCAGGGGTTTTTGGAGACCATCTGACACGACTGCTATACAAATTCTCTACACAGCTCTGAAGACCCACTCCTTCAATGTGCTCCTGGCACAGGAAAGCAACTTCTGGTCATCTTAACACCAAACGAGTCTTCACTTTTCAGTGCGTCTGTATGTTTTTCCCCTGTACCCAGTTTGGTTAGCCCTGTCATCCTCGTCATGTACTGGCATCAATCATTTCTTCCTTCCCCCTTTCCTTTTTTTTTCTTCTTGTTAGTTCTTTTTTATCTATATATTTTAGAACTGAGAGAAGCTCTGCAGTGACCAACCCCCATTTCTGAACAAGCCAGTTCTATATGACATATTTTTTGATGAACTGGAATCAGGGGATAAATGTGGCTTTGACAAATACCTGGCTAGGGGAGACAAAGCAGCTGAGAAGTAACGTTTATCCTGAACTATTTACGATGTAGTTGCTCACTTCTGTGGGCTGATTCCCATCTCATTATTCATCCAGCCAGAGACTGTGAAATCAAGAGCTCTGGAAGCCACACCAGACCCTGCCTGATATTGACAAGCTACAATTCCTCACTCAAATATATAGGATCCCTGAAAACAGCAGCAGGAGACCAGGGTGAGATGCCTTGGGGCCAGTCCGTGGCTAGCAGAGACAGGGCTTATTCTAAACTCATTCGGCCAGGGATGGGGGGAACTGGATATTGCTTCAGTCTGGGATGAAACTAGAGGTAAAGCTCCACGATAACAGTGCTTAAGGATGGAGTTAGGTGACGAGGAGGAGGGGAAAAAGGAAGGAAATAGTGGAAAGTTCTTTATTTATCTGTTTCTATTACGAACCCCAGTGGCAACAGGGAGGATAGCTGACTCTGAAGGAAATACAAGGAATCCTTCCTCACAGCGTTTGACGTAGCAATGGCTCAACCATTTCCTATACTCTTGTTCTTAGTCACACAACAGGCTCCTGCCTCTTACAGAGGCACTCTGGAAGCTCCACACTCTTCCTGTGACTGATGTCATTTTGGCTTCTTTCTTCTATCTTTGGCTTCCTGGTTACTTTTTTCTTCTGAAGTTTCTTCTTCCCCCACCCCGTCTTTTCAGTCTGCTCTAGCCCTCCCTCACCCTTACCTTGTGGACTGTATCTCCCAGTTCTTTTGGATGATGGTAAGTTTATTTTGATGCCTTATTAATTCAGACACAAAATATATGACTGTTTTATCTTCATGATTGTGCACTCATTACCTTCAATAGGATCTTTCTGTTTATCTCGACAGCATTTACAAATATGGTGACAAGATTCTTATCATGCCAGCATGTTGTTTTACCACATATACATTACCTACCTGTTTAGATCATATTGCACATTCTGGGTCAGGTCGATGTTGAGCAGTATAAAATCACGCACATGGCACCTGGAGAACGGAGCCTTTGCTTTCCTGGAATTCAGCTTGCTGTTCCACTTCTGAACACCCAGTATAGCGTAATGAACAATTTTGGGGGTGGCTTCAATGTGTTGGAGGACGCTCTTGAGAGACACATTCTTGCTGGAACCCCCAGGCTCCAGGGACTGGCTGCAAAATGTGATCATACACAACATACAAGCATGGCTTATTATTTTTATGTAACATACACTGCACATATATACACATATATGTGTATACAAAGGACTGAGAAATTCCATTAACAATTGAGTGTTTACACAAGATGCTGTAAAAATATATACATAAACGCAGAGTTTTTAAACAACAGCCAGCTAATCTTGTCCCATCAATTTAGTCTTTACAAGAAAATGGTCCTTTCAGCAGAATAAGGTCTTCCACAGCAATTTAGAAAGGGAAAAGGAATCGTCTTTCGCTCCACTGCTGGAAGGCTATTTTCTCTATAATGGACAGCATAAGCGCTGAGAAGACCAAGAGCTTAATGCCTTCTAAAAAGCTTAAGTTCCCAAAATAAACTGTTTTCACTGAGAAACATAAATTGAATCAAAACAAATCAGGGAAGTAACATATTGAGAAATCGCTCAGTCACTAAAAGCAAGAGTGGCTTTAGGCAAAGAACAAGCACAAGCAGAGGTTTGTTGATGGTACTGACTGTGGGACATGGATGTAAGGGTAGAGCTAGGTGAAAGTGTTCAACAGCAGCGGTTGGATGTTGGTGGTCAACAAGAGAAAACTACAGCCTTCCTACTGCTCTGAGTGAAAGAGCTGATTTTTTGCATTTTAGGCAATATATCTAGTGTCAAAGTGTACAGTTCCTGGGCTATCTGAATAATAATTCAGTGAATACCGACCTCTGTGAGGCCCTTTGGACAGGCATCCTGGTGTTCTCATATCACAGCCAGTGCCTAAAGCTGCTTTTGTTTAGCAATATTTCGAGCACATTACCAGCAGCCCCAGCTGCCCAACTTCTCTAGTTGTCTGGTCTTTCATACCCTGTCAGACGCTAGAGATGAACCTAAGCCGCAGGTGTGCTGCTGTCTGTGCTGGATCAGTGCAGGGACCCCAGCGCTGGGTGGTTCCTTACCTCGACTGTTCATGGACGCTGTGCATGTTCCACAACACACAGGAGTCATCCATGACCACGATGAACGGCCACACACACTGGCGCTTGACTCCTAGTTCCTCCAACCGGTTTCGTTCCAGTTCTAGATTGTGGTAGGAAAGTTCCTTAATAAGAAACCTGGCAGCACCTGAGAATACACCATAAAGAAAACATACAGAGATCTTTATTAGACTTTTATCACTCTCTCTTCCCAGAGAAAGGCTACATGAACATCTGCAATCATTACCCTTTATGAACTTGGTGCTCATAGTATCTTAGTTTAAAAAGAAATCAATAAGTCCCTTCTCCAGTGTGAATAAATCTAAAACAGAGATACCAAGAAAACTGGAGCTTTTAAGAAACACTGCTGAACATTATTTTGTGGGCATTAAGAGCATAACTAGAACCAAGAAGGGGCTGAGATGCTAAAACTGAAGCTACTTGAAACTTCTTGCAGGAAAAAAAGGGTGGCGTCTATGAAAATGAAGTCTCAAGTTCAAGCCCTCAGCGCTCAGCTGCAGTTAATATTTAGCTTCACCTAACAAAAAGTTGCGACTTGAAAAATCACACATATAGAATGAACATTCACACTGCAGGGCTGAGTAAAACGAGTGAATATTGCCTATAAAGAGTCAGATTTTAAACTGGGAAGGCGGTGATCAATACAAACATATATTCCACACCCCTAACAGCATTTCTTACACACTATTATATTTTGCACAGATATTGCTGCTGTTATCACAGCACAAAAGTGAGGCAGCTGCTGCAAAGGTTCCTACAACAACAGAATCCACATTGTCCAACATGGATTTTGATATCTACACAGCAGTGCATCAGTGGTGTTTCTTACCAACGCCAGCATTGTTGAACATGCCTGGCAGGACCAGCATGATGTGGTTGGGCCAGTATTTACGGTAGAGTGGCATTTCATACTCCTTGACTACAAGGAGGTGAAGGTGGCTGATGCCTTCCATGGCATGGTAGAGGTTCAAGAGGCCATGTTCATGACGTCCACTTGATGGAGTGAAGATAGGACTCTTGACTGCATTTAAATTCTGTTGGAACAGGAGATAGTTTAGCAACGTGAGGTAAAAAGCAGGTTATTCCTCATATGTATTTTTATTTATTTATTTTTTGTTTATACTGGATTTTAAGATTACTGATAATTGCAACACATATCAACTGGAAACCAGGAATGCAAAAAGGGATGATTCTCCTCAAAACCTCCAGTTCTATGGACAGTCAGGTAAGAACTATGCAAAGGACTTTAAACCAAAAAGAAAATGGGGAAAAAAACCCAGGCAACCGCCACTGATTTGCAAGTGTATGTCAAGTTGACTGGATTCAGCATATGTAGTCAGCAGATGGGTAAGAGCAGCACACGTACCTTGTCAGAAACAAGTGGGAGACGCATGCTTTCTAGATGCTTTCCCTGCTTGCTGAAGACAAAATGATTTTCTTTGGACTTGGGGATTATAAAATGGAGTTGAACCTCTTCTCCTAGCATCGAGGATGAAAACGTGAATGCATGCAGAGTGGAGTCAGATATCTGTATAACAACAAAAAAAGCAGAAAAAAGATTTGCAAGCAAGTAACCCGTAAGGAGTATATGGCAACCTGCTCCTGCAGTCACAATACTGGAAGGCACCAGAGAAGACCATATTCTCTTTCAGTAACTGTAGTTAACTCTATTATATTCTCATCTTCCTCTACCATAAGCCACACAGGCATGTAACTTGCCTCACTATTAAAACAATTGGCTTTCTGTATCAGTAATGATCTTTGGGCCAACTGGACCCTTCGGAAGTCCATTCAAGCTTATCACTGTTTACAAGAAGTGAAAAATACATATACCAGGAAACAAACTGTCCAAATAAATTTTCCCAGAAGATGCAAAGAGCAGTGTAGCAGCAGGATGCACTGCCATTCAGACACCTCCGCAGCAGCATGGCTGCACTAATATGGTATTTCTCCTCTGGCAATACTCTTCTAAGCAGTGAGGTAACTAAGGCAGGCCACACCATTAACAATCCTATGAAGAATTTGCATGAGCTTAAGTTTGCGCAGTGCTTCACTGAACCGTGTAAGTGTACACAAAGTGCCTACGTATCTGATAAGATTTAATCCTACAGAAGCATCTGTCTTACTACAAGGTCAAATCATTTACTCTTAGCAGTCATCCTTCTACAATCTTTACTAAAGAATCGAAACAATTAGCCCAAGTAAAGATGAAAAATTAAAGGGGCTTTATTTAGGTTCTTTTAAAGCATCGAAGAATCTCTCTCCCAATGATTCCCCTTTGGATGTGTAATTTCTCTGAGTTCAATTATCATAATTCTAAATACACAACTCACACTTGCACATACAAGTAGATATTTATATTTATTACTAGTTGTTATGTTTGACCACATGCACAAAGATGAGTGGAGGAAACAACAGATATCCTTTGGGCTTGCTTGTGTCAACGTACTTAATGAAGCATGAGGTTTAAATCAGAACTGCTGGTGCTGCTCTGTAGTAACTAACATTGTACATTTCCAGGTCAGTGTGCCTATGCTGTGTTAGCTAAATAGCAACCTGTTAGAAAAGATTAGCAAGCAAGGAAAGAACAATTTGAGATAAGAAACTTCCAAGTAAACTGGTGGTGGTGTGAAGAAATAATATCTGAACTATTAACCTGGAATAATCTTACTTGACAGTCTCCTGCGAGCATAACTTTTTTAGAGATCAAAAGCTTTTCACCTAAACAGTTAAAGATGACAATTTTGTTCCAGCAACTTGTAACCTACTGCTGAGAAGCATGCACAGTTACATACAAAGGGAGGAAGAAGTAGGCCTTCCAGTTTCCCATCACAGGTGTGGATGGCTGGCATTTAGGTAAAACAAGCATCTCTCTTAATTCTACAGTCCTCTCCCATGAGATACTGCCAGCTCTCTGGGCAGGCTGAATAATGCTTTGGCTTGAGACAACTAGTGACAATATTCACCCTTTGTGAGAGGCAGCTGGAGAGGAGAACTGCTCATGCAGAACGTAGCAGACACACTTGATGCTCCAGGGTCTGTAGCTCAATATCTCCCCTGAGAATGGAAGAATTAAACAATTCCATCTCAGGGAAGGTGAAAGCATGAGTCCTGAGACCAGAGCAGTACACATGGAGAAACCACAGAAAAATCAAGGATGCAGTTTACCCTTGGACACTGACACCAACCTGCGTGGCAGGATTAATGTCCATATACTGATGGCACTGCTCACAGTGATGGAATGTATTGTAAGCTGCATATTTAGTCAACATCATGGACACAGTCTCCCTTTTCTTAGGTTCCTCTGATTTTGTTTCTTTGCTTGTTTCTGTGCACAAAGAAAAGAAGTAACAGAAATTTTATGAGTGTTAAAAAACAGAGACTTTGATCCTGGTAACAATTGTAAAGAACACAAAAATTGTTTTGTTCCATATCATTTTGAGATTAAAGGCTCTTGTGAACTCATGTGGCCAGCCAAACCAATAAAAAGTGATTCTTTGTAGGAAAGTATTCTTAAAAAAACTCTACATTTTACTTACCTTGTTTCACTCTTGAGAGTTGCTCCGTGTATACGGGACTTATAGTTCTGTACTTAGGGTCATGTACGCTCAGGTCAAAATACATTTTGCTGAAGATCTCAATGTCTGGCCAGTGGTCATTGCTAGACTGAGTAATTTCATTGTTTTCTGTATGATCTGCAACAACACACTTCAGGTAAGCAGTATCAGATACCCACTGAATATTGTTTACATGATGTTTGCTGATTTGCAGTTGCACAGGAACTCACACAGGTGCATATGAACACACACACAGAGACATCTCTGAACATCATAAGTATTACTGACATTGAAATTATAAAATGGCAGTTCCTTGGAAACTGCCTGCAGATGAATGAGCCCCATAGTTATCTTTCTGCTCTGCTGCTCATCAAGCTGCTGAGGTATAATTCACTCTGGTTTAAGCATAAAATGCTCAAATGAATGGCCCTATCTGTGCAGAAGATACAGGTGTGGTCTCTAGCCTCTCTGTGGTGGAATGAGGAGCACTGGGTAAACAAGAAGCAAAAGTATCCAAAGGCAGAAGGATGAAAATGAGGAGAAAGAGGCTGTATAAATTCATGAACTAGGAGCTGGTAGTACACAGTAAAGGCAGTAAAAGACATTCCTGTTAGAGAATGGGATGTGGCCAGCAAGGATCAACTGAAACTTCTAAAGTAGAAAATAAAGTGTAAGTAATGGGAACATTAGAAAACACTGGCCAAAGAAAACAACCTTGGACTGCAGCTTGAACGTTGAGTCAATTCAGTTTAAAATGAGATGGAAGAACACAGAAAAGTAGGCGTGTAACAGAGGTTATGGATTTCAGAAAAGCGAATTCAGACAAAATGAAGGTTGGGTCTACAGACAAGTGCAGGCTCACCCTACCCAGACTGACCCAATAGGATGTGAGCCAGCAGCAGTTCAAGAGGCCATTAACCTCACTGGCACTGTGTCACACTCAAATTAACATATGCCACCGGGCAGGTGAAGCGTTATTAGTTGTCCATTACAGACAAATCCTGAGAAAGCTCACTCTCTAAGTCTGCTGGCCTAAGAAAACCATAGACCTGCCTACGAATGAGACTTGGACCTCTTGGAATTGCAATTGCCAAACAACCAGTAACCAGCATACCAGGCAAAATAAAAACACCAGGAGGAAGGGGCTCAGAGGGACTACATCAAAAATAACACTAAGAATGAACAAAGTCCATGAGGAATGAAAAAAGCTCATGAGTGAATGAAGTTTTGTCTTAAATGTTAACAAGTGTGAGATAAAATAAGCTTTGCCAAATGTCAAGCTGAGGTAGACCTCAGAAAAGTGCATGAAAACAAATAACAATTTTCTGTTATATCACCTCAGATATATAAATTAAAATAATTTTTTTCATTTTCTTTTTACTTTGATGATTATGTTTTGAAGGGAATAAAAGGTTTACTATAAGCCAAGATGGAAAAAACCACAAAAAACTCGAAAAGCTTGATCTGAACTCAAAATAAAGAATAATATCCCTGCCAGTTTTTTGAAAGAACAGGTATGTGAAGTCAGGCAGGAGCCCAATTTCAGTGAAGCTTAGCACATATATTACCACCATTTAAGAGGAGACACAGTACCCTACAGAGTTATGGGTCCATTACTTTGACCTCGGTAATACTCAAAACTTGGGGAGGGTGAAGGCAATAATTAAAGACGTTGAAGTAAATGAAAAATATAATAAAATGCAACATGGGTTGACCAAAGAAATCCTGTGTTCCTCCCACTATAGAGCCATATCTATTTCTCTGAACAAAGAAAAAGCACAGCATCTTAAGTCTTCTGGACTTAAGTATTTGATATGATACTATATGACTAATTATTAGTACAGCTGAAGAAAATGGAGACAGTGAATGGTTTGTAAATTGAAAAAGTTGATTAAACAGAAGGTGGCAGCATGTAACATCATAAAGCATTAAGGCAGATGGAAATTACCAGTACAGATAAAAGATCAGTAGAGGAGCATACTATTTAATATTTTCACTAATGTCACCAACACAAAATAAAACTTGGCTCAAGTTTGCTGATGGCACACTCTAAGAGTCAGTGTCAATATGAAGAAGCAACCGAAGATCATTCACAAAGAAGTCAATGCCCTTGAAAACTGTAACAGAAACTGGATAATGCCTAACAGAAAAAATATGAGTCATATGTATAACCAAGGAGCAATAATTCCTGCAGCAGGTTGGGAGCACCTCAGCTGGAAATGACCGACTAGGTGGTTCCTACCCACAAGTACAAGCTACGTATGAGTGCCAGTGAAATGGGAGAATAGAAAAGACCCATGCAACCACAGGTTTCATCAGTCATGGGGCTTTCAGTGGGGGCAGGAGAATACATAAGCTGTGGTACGCTGGGTTGGTTAAGCATCCTGCAGTTCTGGTCAGCCACGTACCAGAAAGATCATACTTGAAAAATCCTGGCTGTCTGG